AAAAAAAAAAAAGAAAAGAAAGACTCTGCCTTTGACAAGCTCAGCACACTAGATAGGAAGCTAGTCACCCCCACTTGTCTGCCCCTCACTTGGTCCTCCTGTCAGCATAATGGTATATTATATCCATTTTATGGATGTGGAAACTGGGGACTTGAAAAGTAAAAGGACATCTTTATCTGATATCACATGAGCCCTAAATGTCATTATTCTACAGCACATTTTATGACACCAAATTCTGGAACACTGTCTGAGGATAGCCCTGTCATGCTCAAATAAACCAGCCCTTCAAAGCACAAAGGGCCAGCACCAGCAGCACCATTTGCCAAGTGCTATTCTAAGTGCTTTACACACATCGACTCATGCACCCTCACCACAACCCTATTCTTTCCCCCATTTTACAGATGAGGAGACTGAGGTCTGTCCTCTAAATACATGTGCAAAGTCACATAGCTAGAAAGTGGTGAAACTGGAACTCAGGCCTGGTGGTCTGATTCTGGAGCCTGTGATTCCAAAGTCCAATCTATATAACCCATAATATTTTTGTTTGTTTGTTTTAAGAGACAGAGTCTCACTTTGCTGCCCTCAGTAGAGTGCCATGGCATCACAGCTCACAGCAACCTCCAGCTCTTAGGCTTAGGCAATTCTCTTGCCTCAGCCTCCCTAGTAGCTGAGACCACAATAGGCACCCAGCTATTTTTTGTTGTTGCAGTTTGTCCAGGGTCAGGTTTGAACCCGCCACCCTCGGTATATGGGGCTAATGCCCTACTCACTGAGCCACAGGCACTGCCAAATCCATAGTATATTTAATACATAAACACACACACACACACACACACACACCATTGTGTAGGTCTTCTCAATCCAGGCTAGGGGAATATGATACAACAGACTCAGGGTTCAAGTCCCAGCTTTGTTATTAATTCTTTATATGACTATGAACGTGTCATTCCCCTTCCCTGGGCTTTAGTTTCCTCACATGTGAAAAAAGAAGAGTGGGAAAAAGTGTTTCCGAGTTCCTTTCTGGTCTATCTGGCGATCTGTGGAACTTCCTAAAGTAGAGTCCACCAGAACTCAGACTCCCATCTTCAGAGAGCTCAGACAGGCAGAGAGCACCCAGCCCCAAGATGCGACTTGCCTCTAAGTCCTTAGTGATGGGGTGGGAGGGTCCGTGAGTCACCAGGAGAATGGCATAGGCTTTGCAGATCATCCCATGCCCCACCTCAATGTTACCAGCATGCCAGTTGGTCAGCCCTGCCCGCATCACAGCCATGCCCAGCTGGGCGTTGTTGGGGTGGTAGAGCTTCCTGTAGGGGCATAGCAAATAATCACACAGAGTACCATCCCAACCACCCTTAAACCTGCACATCATCTGACATCTACTTTCTAAGTAGAAAGTGCCCTCATTGATTAAGTGCATCTGCTCCTCTCACCAGCACCATGCAGCTTCTGTGGCCAAAGGAAGAGGCACTGAGGCAGAGGGACATGGAGTAAGATACCAAAAATCCCACACAGTGAGGAAGTGAGAGCTAGGACTCTGAACTAGGCCGTTCAGACAAGTCCTCTTGGGGAAAAGGGACCAGGACCTGAGCTTGAGCACAGAAAGCTGGGAGCTCCCACCAGTGCCCTAGCACTCTCCCAGGAAGGTGACAGCAAAGTTAAGGGCAAAAATAACTTGGATGTTCTTCTTGGGAAAGCAGTGTATTTTCACCTTGGCCTGGGTATTCTCTTTGCAAGGCTTCCTTTTAGCATATTGTAAAGATTTCCTGCATTTTGTTTATGAGTAACATGCCTTCAAAGAAATAAACCTTCGGGGTGGTGACCGTGGCTCAGTGAGTAGAGCTCTGGCCCCATATATCGAGGGTGGTAGGTTCAAACCCAGCCCCAGCTAAACTGCAACAAAAAACAGCTGGGGCTTGTGGCAGGTGCCTGTAGAATTGCCTAACCCCAAGAGCTGGACGTTGTTGTGAGCTATGATGCCACAGCACTCTATCGAGGGAGACA